CCTGATTACCCTGTGTAAACAGTTTTTGACATCTGTCTTTATAGTTTTTGAGGAGAGGAAGACTTTGTTAAAAGAACCATTTTTATACAGCAGTCACCATTTCAGTCTTGCTTTACCTGTATTATGAAAGCAGATGGTCTGCATGTCTTTTGAATATTTATAACTATCAAAAACAATCTCTTGCTATTCACCCTTAGGCTTATGAGATGTCAGGACTGTTCTGGTTGAAAAAAAATCATCTTGGGTGTTTACAGAAAGAGGATTACATTAAGCTGAAATGACTATACATTTTCCAGTTTAATATTTGTCCATCAGCTGTTTAATCGTATTTAGATAATTGTGTAAATAAGTTGTTGCAGCCCTTGCCCCCTCCACTGATCGAGCTTGAAAGCTTTAAACACCAGTGAACCAGTTTCAAAAATGCTTGTTTTCATTTTCCCACTTCAAACACTCAAGCCTAAATAAGTTTTAGTTGCGATGCCTCTGAGGGGAAAATTTCACACAAAAATCCCTAATGCCTAACAACTGATTTCTGTGAGGGAACTGTGGTCTCTGGTACCCTCAGCTAAGTTTACTAGCACGTATTTATTCTGTGTCGATACTGCAGCCCGAATACCCCTAGATGAGGTTGTTTTCTTTGCTTCATTCTGACTATATAAGAGTAATTTTAAGGTTGCTTGGGAGAAGTTTTGGGACTTTGGGGGTTAAGTGATTTTTGACTGGAAGCTGAGCAATCACTGATAACAGATTTTTGCTGTGGTTGGTTGATTTGGCAGAAAAGCATGAACAGTTTTGGTTTAGATGATTGAATTAACCCGATTAACATTGTTTTTGTTGTTTTGCAAAAAGGACAATAATATACTCTTAGTCATAATCTAACAACTTTTTACTCTGGTAGATAAGCAATCTTAGAGAAAATAGTTTTAAATGATTTTCTACCAAGCATCTACATGAGCTGATGAATAGACCAGGCAGAGTCAAACATGGAATTCCTTCACTTGTCTAGTGAGATGCAATGTATCTTGGCTTCTGACACAATGTGCAAGGTAGCTGATGCTACTGTCTTTTTTTTAAGTGATGGGCATCTATAAATCAGCTGTAGTTTAACATGCTTCCTATACAGTGTCTTCAGACTTTTTAAGGAAAAACTACTTAGACCTAGTTTCCAAGTCTTTGTGAAAAGGGGATTACATTTAAAACTAAATTTCTAGGCAAACCTTAGTTGGCACTTCAGAACAAATTCTAACCCTATTCCCACACAATTATGGAAGACCTTATTATAATTATTTGCTCTGAAAAAGAGAGCTTGGGCTGTGGCAGATGGTATCATTCCAGAGTAGCGGGGTTTCTGTGAAGGTGGCACCATTTCAGATCAGATCTTCAGATTCTCAAAACAGAACTGCAAGTACTGTACTTGAAGGAAGAGAGAGAGAGAGAGAGAGAGTGTGTGTGTGTGTGTGTGTGTGTGTGTGTGTGTGTGTGTGTGCGCGCGTGCGCATGTGCACATACATGTGTGTGCGCGACGGGGGGGAGAGGAATTTGATCTTAAAAGCTTGCAACTTGGTCCCAATGATAAAAATGTAGTAGAGTATGCTAACATTTTATGCCATCTATCATTTTTCTTTCATGGAAAGCATGAAAGCTGTAGTCAGGTTATGGATGACTAATGTGCTGCCTGTATAAATCTCAGATGCATTCAAATACATCAGACTGCTAGCTCATCTTCCTTGTAGAACTATAGCTTGCACATAGGGTATGCCTGGATATAGTGTGGTACAGTCTAGATATAAACCTTGCATACTGTATTGATCATGGCTGAACATGAAGCAGCCAAGAGCATGCAGTATTTGGGGACTTTTTGCATGTACTGAGTTGTGATCACAAAAGAAAAAACCTCAGTATGTGGGAATATATTGCAGGTAAATCCCAACACCCCCGAAAAAAAATAAAAACCAAAACAAATCAAAACCTCCCAAGCAATTGGGTTTCTTCTATCCTTGGAGCCAAGATTTTTTTAAAATTGTATTGACAGAAAAGACCATTACACCCATGCACATAAAGGGTGTCTGCCTTACTGAAAGCTGTGAGCAACCTCCTTTCTAAAAGGCTATTCTGTCAGTCTCTGTGGTGGGTTATACCCCTGGACTGGCATGGGACCATAAGCTCCTGACAACAATATAATAAATAAATCAAAGTCAGAAATTATGAGAATTTGATTTTGTGAGGATATTTTCTGGGTTATCAAAATAATAACATTGCTTGGAAATGCAACATTTTGCCTTCAGTGAATTATCAATTGAACTACTGGATTTTTTTGTAATGAGAATATTTAGCTCGAGCACTTTGGTTTGGGCATTTGCAATATTTTCAGAGAATACCCTAGTAAAGTGTGGGGGGAGGGGTTCAGACTGGGAAAACTGGCCAAGATTTCACTCCAAATAACTCAGAATAAGTAAAAGTGGCAATGGAAAGCATTACAATTTAAGGCAGCTCTGTGTATGTTTTACATATAATCTTGGCCCTGTTAGTCAGTTCAGTTTCTCCTTTTCACTTAAAAGTAGAGTGACCATCCATCCTGGGCGTCCCAGCTGGTTGGTCAAAGGTTCTGGAGTGGAGTGGCGTGGTGTCAGGCAGGCACCAGCAGCTGCAGTGCCTGGCTACCTGCCTGGCACACCATGCCACTCTGCATCCCTGTTGGACCCTGGGACCTTTGACCAACTGTCCGGGACTAGACTAACAAAGCTGGGAGTGTTCAGGTTTGCCCAAGACAAATGGTTACCATAATTAAAAGGAATCAGAATTTTACCAATGGGGTTTAAACAAAGTTTTAATTCAGACCATTTATTCCTCTTGTTTGGTCCTATGGTGATGTCATAAACTGAACTTCTGACATTGTCTTTAGTAACAGATTTTGATGGCCACATAGGATCCTAACTCCATTGTATAATGAAGCAGAAAAGCATTTGAATAGAGGAGAAATAGGGAATCTTAGATGAACTTATTCAAGATATACTATCTTAGAATCATTAGCAATGGACACAACCAGATTTTCAAAAACCAAAACCTAAATTGTACCTGCATGTGCATATGTACATAGGCAGTTATGTGGATGAAGGGGCCAATTACGTGTACACTTACCAATTTTGCACATGTAAATGCTGGTGTTTCCTGCACAGCAACCTATCCATGCATTCTTGTTTTGCAGATGCAGTTTATATAATGGGTTTTTAAATGTAGCTTGATGTGTACCAACTATCTATCTGGCAATGGCCAGATCTGTAATGGAGCCTAGGAACATAACTGTATTAATACATTAATACAGTTTATAATCATACAGTCCATGTACTTGAGAGAGAACTTGGGTTCAGTTAAGCTTAGTTCATGTAGTTAAGGATAAAGCTATGGTAGTCAAAATTTATTTCCTTTGAATGTCCTTGAGAATGAGCTTGTAGTTAGTTTGAAAAACATGGTATTGATGTCAAGAAATGCAGAACAGTAAAAGATTATATTTTTGATGATTGTTAAAGCTATGAAAATGGCTAAAAGGTAGTAACTTTCTAAAATGTGTGCAACAGGGTTTCTATACTAGGCAATCAGTTTTGCTTAAATACTAATAGTGTATACTTCCAACATTTGTTCTGGGATCCAAGAAATAACATGTTACTGAACAACATGTTGTAAAATAGACGCTTATAATGGACTTCACTGGAATCAATAAACAAGATAATGCTACTTTAGATCAGGAATAGCTTTATAATAGACAGTCTTATTGTAATATTTATTGCCTTTGTCCCCAAACTGGCTCTTCCAGTGGTTATTACAATTTATATAACAAAGGCCCCATGCTGTACATTGATTTTACCATAGCACAAAATAACTAAATGTTATATGCAAGATAGCAAAGGAAATATAATAATCAAGGCATTGTCTTCTTCACTGTAATTGTTTTCTAAATATCCTGGACAATTCCTTTAGTTAAGCTAATAGAAGCCACTTTCCACATAAATATCCAAATGCATTGAAGTTCAGTCTATTGGAATTATATTTACTGGTTCTGTTAATCACGCATCCTATACTGATCGTATTTTTCAACCTGAAACAGTGTATCATTTTGCAAGACTTATTCTTGATTGATTTTGTGTGGGGGAGGAGGGAACGCATATTATTGGAAGCTTTTATACGTTGTTAATTTCATTGTATTGGTTAAAATTGAGCTGAAGGCACTTATTTCTGTCTAGCCAGCTTTATTTTCAAGATATCCTTGAGTAAGTTTAATAATTAAAAATATGTCTGATTATATTTTTAGTACATTTTATGACTAATTTGCATTCTAGAGTTGGCCTCTTAGAGTTAGAGTTAGACAATGAGATTTTTGTTTCTTAAAGTTGTTCTTTATGAACAGTTTATTATATCCTGGGATAAACTAAGTTGCATCTTGCGAAGCATTTGCTATAAACCATGCTACTATAGCCCAGAGTAGTTTGTCTCAAATTTGTTTGGCTGTATGAGCCTCTGGGTTTCATGCCATACACTGGTGGCATGCGGGGAAAGGGTGAGAATATGCTATTGCCATCCATAGAGTGAGAAATAAATTAATCTAGTGTTTGGATGCTTGAGAGGTCAATTGCAGTTGAAAGCAGAAGTAGTAATAATAAATGATACTTTCAGAATTAATGCCCTTTGAGAATCCTTATCCTAATTCATTGCTCTGAAGTTTTTGATTGATAATCTAATTCTTCTCATAGTGAATGTGTTCGGGTTTTTTGTTTGTTTGTTTGTTTGTTTGTTTGTTTGTTACCATGTATGTTATATTTGAGAAGATTTTAAGCTTGATTTAATGGATTTTAAAAAGTTGAAGGCTCTGGACTAAAAGATTAAAAATGTAGCATGGTGTTCAAACTCTAAAAATATTATGGTTTCAACAATCAGAATGATTTCTGTGTTTCAACTTGTGCTGCTATGTATTACAGATCTTTTTTTTTCTTCCTCTTTTCACGCAGAGTATGATTTCTTCCATTGTGAACAGCACTTACTATGCAAATGTCTCAGCAGCAAAATGTCAGGAATTTGGAAGGTGGTATAAACATTTCAAGAAGGCAAAAGATATGATGGGTAAGCAAAAAAAAAAAAAAAAAATTGCTGTCATGGTAGTAGCCACATACCATTACCGTGTCATGTTGAGGTTTGTCACAGTTGTATAAGATGGCATGCTTTTTATGAATGTGTATAATAAAAGAATTAATTGTACTAAGTGTTTGCTATTAAACTAGCTAAACTGATTTAGGTTATCTGACAATCTAGAAGTCATGGAATAAGATATAAACCTGTCATTTTGCAGATCTAGGGACCTACCACCAGTCTTAGTTAATTATGTTAAAAAGACTTCTCTAGGAACTGTGGATGATACCAAATTTTTTTCAGTTTAATAGCAAATTTATGATGAAGAAAACAAGCTTCCCTGTCCTCATCACTCTCCAACAAAAAGCTTATGAATGAGCAAATAAACCATAATTTACTCTAATTTCTTGGGATGTGGCTTCAGCTTATTATTATGAGGTTCTTCTCATAACTAACTGGACAAGTTTGTACTCGTTATAGAAGACTGCAGTGCATATACGTTATAGAATTGTAATAAATTGATTTATGGGGTATATTAATTCCTTAAATGAAAAAAAGACCTTCCAGATTTTTTTATTTTTTTTTAAAGGAAAAAAGTTGTTCTAGGTCTGTATATTTTATATCAACTTCTACATACTTTTCCAATCATTTTTTAGAATGAAGAAATTGAGTCTAATTTGGGAAAAAAAACTTGAACATGTTAATTTAGTTTCAGTTTTTAAAATAAAATCATTCATCTACTAAAACAGGTTCCTTGCCTTTTATAGCTTAAGGCTGTAATGAAGACAATGCATCACTTTTGTGATAATTGCTTGAATTACTATTCCAAGTGAATGGCCCACTTGGGTTGATCTCTGCTTTCAGTTAGTGGAAATAGAAGGCTTCTTTCCATAATCTTGTTTGTTGCTTCTGTGCAATGTCAGGCATTTCTGTAAGTCTGAATGTTGTATTACGCTTTCTGAATCTGGGTTAGGGCTGGATCCAAAGCCCATTGAATTTGGTAGCAAGATATGCATCGGTGCCTGTGTGCCTGATCCATGTGTAAATATCTCTATCACATGAAAAAGAGGATGAAGGCAGCCCTAAGCATCTCCACATACTGCCTTTTCCTCTTCCCTCCTAGCCATAATCTTGCTGAGTGCTGGGCATGGTCCAAGGAAAGCAGTTAGAACATATACAAGCTGATGGCACAGGAGTCACATTACTTGAAATGGTAATGCAGACCCCTGGCTCACCACCCTATACCTCCTGTGTCTTTTGAAAGGTTGTTGAAGTCAATATATATTGGTGAGGAGAGTAGCTGTGATTCCATGCCGACAGGGAACTGCGTAACCCTTACTAGGAACTAGAGATAATTTGCAGGCATGCCAGGGCCTCTAAGTAGAAAACCCCTTCGTTAGTTGTCCGTTGACAGGATAGTATTGGGGAGAAATCTGTGAGGGAATCCACATGCAATTTCTTTCTACAGAGAAGGCAATTTTTTTTTTTTATCCGCTAAATAATGCTCTTTGGAGAGCACTAATTATTTTAAAAGCATAGATTGTCCTCTCCCAACCCCTTCTCATACATTTCTACTTATTTCTTCTACTGACAGGCCCACCACCAACTTCGTGAGATCCAGCTCTTTCCTTGCAGTGTTTTCAAGTTACAGATTGTTAAAAATGCAAAAGTGAAATTGAGTAGAATCAGGCATGCATTTAGATGGGGTAGGTAAGGTGACATAAGACACCTTTACCCCAACTTAAAACTATATACATAACTGTCATCATTTAATAAAAAATGTCAGCTGTGTTGCAAATCATTGGGGGGAAAAAAGTTGGTGATTATAAGATAAAAAGCCCATTCCCCCAGTTCTGTGCATGCAGTCAGATCTTTGTCTACAACTGAAGAGTAGTTCAGGGGTTGGTATGGAGAAGGGAAAAAGCAGTTGTGTGTTAACACCTGATATTGAACCAGCTCTCTACCAGTATGATCTGAGTATAATTTTTCATATGTTTAATCAGTTTCTAACTGTCCTGTAGGGTTGATGTGCAACAACCAGGAATTGGGGCTGATGGATGTTCACATCACATCTTGCTTGTTTTATCCCTCCACCAGCTGAACTATAAGTCTTTTGACGGAGGACTCTCCAGGGGTTACAGATGCAAGTAGCTGCTGGACCCCCATCACGGAATAGGGCCGTTCCCTTGTGATGGCACTTCCTAATTTTTGTACGTGTGCTCTTAGAGTTGTTTACACTCACATAAGGACCTTGGTGTATGGGAAGCTGCTTCCCATTCACCAATCTCTCTTCATTTTTTGCTTTCCTTCTCTTGATTAGGGAAATCTGAGCCTTAGTATACCAACATTTGAACAAGAGGTCTTCCCTTATGATCCTTGTTCTTAAGCAAGAGGGTTTTAATTCCAGGTTGGTCATCCTTGGTACTGTGACAAATGTGGTCTTTGTTCTATATGCCATCCTTGGAAAGCAAGACATGTAAAATTAGATAAAAGGAGTTTATGCAGGGATATACAGCAAGCAAGAACCTAAATGCAGTGGTTTTCTATTGGAGAAAAAGAAAGGGTGTTGTATTAAAACTTGTGAAGAACATCAAGTATGGTATTTTCAGTTCAGCTCTCATCTAACTAAATATTTTTTTCCACTCTAGTTGAAATGGATAGCATTTCCGAACTACCCCAACAAGGTGCCAACCACGTCAACTTTGGTCAGCAACCAGTCCCAGGGAATACAGCCGAACAGCCTCCATCCCCTGTTCAGCTTTCTCATGGTAGTCAACCATCTGTTCGGACCCCACTTCCAAACCTGCACCCTGGACTTGTATCTACTCCCATTAGCCCTCAGCTGGTAAATCAGCAGCTGGTAATGGCCCAGTTGCTGAACCAGCAGTATGCAGTGAATAGACTTCTAGCCCAGCAGTCCTTAAACCAACAGTACTTGAACCACCCTCCTCCTGTCAGTAGGTCCATGAACAAGCCGTTGGAGCAGCAAGTTTCAACTAACACAGAGGTGTCTTCCGAAATCTACCAGTGGGTACGCGATGAATTGAAACGAGCAGGAATCTCACAGGCAGTATTTGCACGTGTGGCTTTTAACAGAACTCAGGTCAGTCTCGCTAATACTCCTCCCCCACCCCTTCCCTTCTCACCCCTGAAATATTAGGTTTCCATCTGTTTTTGTACTTAGCACCTTTTCCATCTCACCTTGTTCCTCTCCTCTCCACTTTTCTATTAAAGTGGAGTTTTAATCATGAGTTTTCATGAGTTTGCATGAGTACACCTGTGTCTAAACTGACGTGCACAAATCTTAAGCAATCCTACAGATTGTGAAAATGTTCACTATTCTTAAATTTACTTACCATTTTCCAGTGGCTACTATGATGTGTTTTGACTGCTATGGGGAAAGAGAACTAGCAGCTCTAGGCAGAGCCAAGCTCAAAGCTGCACACCTGTGTGGTAAAGATACAGCTGTGTAATACTGTCTCAGTTTTACATAATGTCCATGTGTATTCTAGAGGAACTAATAGCAAGGCGGTACGGACTGTGCTTGTCCTGCATCCTAAGTATATTCCAATACTCAGTTTTATCATAGTTTATACATTAACTGGCTTTTATTTTCTTTCTTGCTGAGTTTTTTTCATTTTGATTGCTAGCACCATTTTAAAAAATGCCTCCACTAAAAAGAATGCTTTAGAGAAGTATTTAAACTTTCTTTCTATGTGTTTGCCTGTGTTAAAGTTCAATGTTAAAACAGATTATTCCCACTGCTCTTTTCCAGACCAAAATATACACTCTGAAATGATGGTATTCATAACTGGTAGATAAAACTAAAATGCATCATTTTTAGACCAGTGTTAAAAGTTAACCCCATTCATAACTTACATTCATAACAAGGAATAACTTAATGCCATGTCAGTTAAATTTACCAAAAACCTAATTACAGTATGTGTAAAATGTCAATATAAGTACAAAAATAGTTTTAATACTAAAAGAGCTCTGAACTTTAACCCAGTGTATTTACATTATTGTTAATGAGGAGTAAAAAAAAAAAAAAGCATAGTTAAATTTGACTTGGGCAAGTATGTGTCCACTGTAGAATCTGACAACACTTATGGTCCAACTAAAAGACATATCTTGCCATTCTGATTTGATTTTTAATTGTCTTTCTCTTACAGTTTAAGAAGGAAAAACGTATGCTCAAAATGCACTAATATTCAGTTTGCACGAACATGCCATTTTCCATCATTTTGAATTCATGTCAAACATGTTTTTAAATGTCCCCCTTCTTTGGATAAGAGCAAATATAGCCTTTGTGGTAGCATGATTCAGAGAATAACTTATTTACTATATTTTGCCTTTTCGATCTTAATTGTTCCAGGTCAGGTTTTTTTTCTCCCCCCTCCAGTTCCTTCAGTTTTCATAATTTGCCAACTGATTTTGGCGCACACTATTTTTGGTCTGTACATGGACTATTTATTCTCAGCATTTCATATTTGATATTCAGATTTGGTTAGTTTTGATGTCTAGCTTGCAGGATATCATGTTTCTGCATTAAAATTACATTCATCCAATCTTTGGTTTCCCATACAAATACTCTCTCTCTCAAATCTATTTTCTTACCACAAATATTATCCAACATTTGTTTAAAATTAATTGCTTCCACAAGTATTGCTGCCAATCAGTTCAATAAAATATGTTCAAAGTTGGTCCAAATTAGAAGAAAACACACACAATGAATTTCTTTAAAAAGTCAAGTGAAGAGACATGGAAATCTTTTTTTTTTCCCCTTAATATTCACCCAACTGAACAAACAAAAGTAGCCCTTAATCTTACAAATTGCATTGGTTAATTAAATAAGTATTTGCAGATAGATTAACTGAATATTTGTAGTATTCATTTTATTTGGTATAGCAAAAGTAGGGAGCAAAAAAGGAAAGACTGCAAATGTAAGCACAGAGGCAACCATAGGCCCCAGTCTTGCAGACATGTACACAAGCCCAATTTTGTAGTGATAAGCATTCTCATTAAAGTCTGTGAGGCTTCATAAAGGAGTACTCCTTTGTTCGCAAGATTGGGGCCTTACCAATTTAAGTTAAATGACTAAGTTTAAGTGTCAGTTGCGTCATGTCAACATTGTGTATAATACATTTGGAGAGTATTTGTAACCATTCATATAGAAACCCAGATTTTATACAAAAGCAGGTTATTTGTTTTTTTTTTGAACACCCATATTTTAACATTTTAATGCAGTTTATTCAAGATATTTTCCCTAAACTGGAATTAAGGGGAACACTTTAGAATGAATTGTGCCTTTCAAAGAGGTTTTTTTAAATACAGCAATAGCAATATACACTTATTTCAGGAGAGCAAAGTGGAAATGTTTGTTTAAATTCAGCTACTGTGTTCTGAGATCAAAGCTATCTCAGGCTTAACACTGACATTTTTTTAAACTGTCATAAGCATATTTGAGCCTTGTTTTGAAAATGTCCAGGAATCATATGTCATCAGTTTTGAAGTCAAAGACCTCACTGAAATCAGTTAGGAGTTCTGTGTAAAAAGTGATGGCATGATATGGCCCCAGATGAGGCAAAAGATTCATTCTTCAGTTTAAAGAAAGGAAGTGATTTGTAGACTAACAACAATGTGGCTTAGCATGCCAGCATTCAAGGTGGACTTGAATTTTGGTTATACTTGATGTTGTAGGTCAATATCAGTTCTCACCTTGGATACCTTAACTTTGCCATCATTACATTTGTATTATGGATAGAGGTACACTTCAGGAAAAAAAATTCCCAATACCTTAAAATGGCAGTTTCACACTAGCTTCATGGTTAGGGAATTTTTCTTTCAAGAGGAAAAATTCTTTAAACTGGAAATGGTTATGTTTTGTTCCCAGGCTAGAGGAAAGAGATATGGTAAAATTATTTTTCACAATTGGAAAAAAAGATGTATTCTGAACATCATTTTACAATATAGGTATAATGTAGGTGATTTACATCTCAAAATGGAAGAGTTTCTAATTGTTTATTGGATAATCCAAAACTACTTTTTCACACTTAAAAATTGGTTTTAAAAAAAAATCACACTTAATGGGTGCATCTACACGTGCGCTCCACTGGGCGGTTGGTACTGGGCAGTCATTTAGTACTTGCTTTAGCAAGTGGCAGCATCACAGTTAATGCCTGCTGACTCTACATCGCTGTAGCACATCACTACAGCAACATAATATCTCATGTAAATGCGCCAAATAATTGGTAAATAATATACTTAGTATGTAGTTCTAAGGAATATTTGGTTTCACCAAGTTAAACTAGTTGAAAAATTGTATGCGAGAAAGCTTAGCATGCTGTGTATGTGCAATACAGGGTTTGCCTTGCTAATCCAAAGTAGCTTCTCTGCTCTGATCCTAAAACATCTCTGTGAGTGGTGCTTCCTGAGTCTGGGGGGTCACCTGCAGAAGCTGGCAGCAGCAGCAGGGACGGAGCTGCCAAGCACCCGCAGAAGGCAC